CCATATAATGATATCTACCATTGGTCAGTACACATATAACAATACCTACCATTGGTCAGTACACATATAACGATATATATACCTACCATTGGTCAGTACACATATAATGATATCTACCATTGGTCAGTACACATATAACGATACCTACCATTGGTCAGTACACATATAACGATACCTACCATTGGTCAGTACACATATAACGATACCTACCATTGGTCAGTACACATATAACGATACCTACCATTGGTCAGTACACATATAACGATACCTACCATTGGTCAGTACACATATAACGATACCTACCATTGGTCAGTACACATATAACGATACCTACCATTGGTCAGTACACATATAACGATACCTACCATTGGTCAGTACACATATAACGATACCTACCATTGGTCAGTACACATATAACGATACCTACCATTGGTCAGTACACATATAACGATACCTACCATTGGTCAGTACACATATAACGATACCTACCATTGGTCAGTACACATATAACGATACCTACCATTGGTCAGTACACATATAACGATACCTACCATTGGTCAGTACACATATAACGATACCTACCATTGGTCAGTACACATATAACGATACCTACCATTGGTCAGTACACATATAACGATACCTACCATTGGTCAGTACACATATAACGATACCTACCTTTGGTCAGTACACATATAACAATATATATACCTACCATTGGTCAGTACACATTTAACGATACCTACCATTGGTCAGTACACATAACACGATACCTACCTTTGGTCAGCACACATATAACGATATATATACCTACCATTGGTCAGTACACATATAACGATACCTACCATTGGTCAGTACACATATAACGATACCTACCATTGGTTTCTTATTCTTGTCTTTCTCCCACTCAGGCAGATTACACAAGAAGACCTGCTTACACTTGAGTGTACCCGGACCAATGGTGATAATGTCCCCGTGGTTGATCTTGGAAGGATGGTTGGCCTTCAGCTCAGCTTGTAGCCCCGGCCCTCCATACTTGACCAGACTCTTTCCTGCTCCTGCCTTATCCAGTTCCAGATCTTGACTGGTGGAGATGACCAGGACATCAGCCTAGAGAAACACAAACATTTAATATAGACTAGATCTCATAGGCCTGTAACAGTCAGTGCAATGTACAAATACAGGATAAATCTTTAATATATCACCCAAAAAACGATGCAAAACAATCAAAGTTATATAAAAAAAAACTGTTAAAGAATGGGTAAAAAATGCATAAACATTTTGTAGAACTACTTCAATCAACAGATGATGTCAGCCTAACAAAACATTGAGAGAATTTTCTGTGTTATCTTTACCTTTTCTCTCCCAATTTCTCCACGTAGAAGTTTGATTTTCAGGCCATTTTTACATGTTACCTCGGCTGGCACTCTGGTTGGCAAGGTGACTGGAGATGGTTGTGGTGCTGGGACTGCACCAAACATCCCTGTAATTGTAGGTGATACTCTTACAATACAAGACAGTGCAAAGATGGTCACATTTGTCAGTCAAATCATGGTTATATTCAATCAAACCAGGACAATATTTAGTTAAACCATGGCAACAGTAAGTAAATCCATGGTAACAGTCAGTAAAACCATGGTAACAATTGGCCAACATAGTAACAATCAGTAAAACCATAGTAACAACGTTCAAACATGGTAACAGTCAGTAAAACCGTGGCAATGATTGTCAAACAAAATAACAATAAGTAAAAAAATGGTTACAATTGTCAAACAAAGTAACAATCAGTAAAACCATGGTAACAATCATTCAAACATGGTAACAGTTAGTAAAACCATGGTAACAATTGTCAAACAAAGTAACAATCAGTAAACCATGGTAACAATTGTCAAACCATGGGAACAGTCAGTCAAACCATGTTAACAATTGGCAAACAAAGTAACAATAAGTAAAAAAAGGGTAACAATTGTCAAACAAAGTAACAATCAGTAAAACCATCGTAACAATCAGTCAAACATGGTAACAGTCAGTAAAACCATGGTAACAATTGTCAAACAAAGTAACAATCAGGCAAACCATGGTAACAATTGTCAAACAAAGAAACAATCAGTAAAACCATGGTAACAATCAGTCAAACATGGTAACAGTCAGTAAAACCATGGAAACAATTGTCAAACAAAGTAACAATCAGGCAAACCATGGTAACAATTGTCAAACCATGGGAACAGTCAGTAAAACCATGGAAACAGTAAATAAAACCATGGTAACAATCAGTCAAACAAAGTAACAATCAGTCAAATAAAGGTAACAGTCAGTAAAACCATGATAACAAACAGTAAAACCATGGTAACAATCAGTCAAACCAAGTTAACAATTGTCAAACAAAGTAACAATCAGGCAAACCTTGGAAACAATCAGTCAAACCTTGGTAACAATTAGTCAAACCATGGTAACAATCAGGCAAACCTTGGTAACAATCAGTCAAACCTTGGTAACAATTGTCAAACCATAGTAACAATCAGTAAAAACATGGTAACAATCAGTCAAACCATGGTAACAGTCAGTCAAACAATGGTAACAGTAACTTAAACTATGGTTACAATTGTCAAACAATTTTAGTAACATTCAGTCAAATGTGTTACCAGTCTGTCAACCATGGTAACAATTGTCAAACCATGGTAACAGTCAGTAAAACAAAGTAACAATCAGTAAAATCATGGTAACAATCAGTCAAACCATTGTCACAATTGTCAAACCATGGTAACAATCAGTCAAACCATGGTAACAATCAGTCAAACCATGGTAACAATTGTCAAACAAAATAACAATCAGTCAAACCATGGTAACAATTGTCAAACAAAGTAACAATCAGTCAAACCATGGTAACAGTCAGTTAAACCATGGTAACAATCAGTAAAACCATGGTAACAATCAGTCAAACCATGGTAACAGTCAGTAAAACCATGTTAACAGTCAGTAAAATCATGGTAACAGTCAGTCAAACAATGGTAACAGTAACTTAAACTATGGTTACAATTGTCAAACAATTTTAGTAACATCCAGTCAAATGTGTTACCAGTCTGTCAACCATGGTAACAATTGTCAAACTATGGTAACAGTCAGTCAAACCATGGTAACAGTCAGTAAAACAAAGTAACAATCAGTAAAATCATGGTAACAATCAGTCAAACCATGGTAACAATCAGTCAAACTATGATTAAAATCAGTCAAACCATGGTAACAATCAGTCATAACATGGTAAAAATCAGTCAAACCATGGTAACAATCAGTCAAACCAAGGTAACAATTGTCAAACAAAGTAACAATCAGTCAAACCATGGTAACAGTCAGTAAAACCATGGTTACAATCAGTCAAACCATGGTAACAATCAGTAAAACCATGGTTACAATCAGTCAGATATAGGCAAGAATCAGTCAAACCATGGTAACAATCTTTCAAACAATGGTAACAATCAGTCAAACCATGGTTACAATCAGTCAGATATAGGCAAGAATCAGTTAAACAATGGTAACAATCTTTCAAACAATGGTAACAATCAGTCAAACCATGGTAACAATCAGTCAGATATAGGTAAGAATCAGTTAAACCATGGTAACAATTGTCAAACAGGTTACACACATGAATTTTGACAATACAAATAAGGTTTTGGTTAGATACTGGTATATGATTAATCATTTAATGCTTTTACTACTCTTATCTGTTAATTAAATGCTTTTAATATCAAAATATTTAAACGGTTCAAATTTAGAAAAATATGAAATATTTTTAGCATAACCATCACTGTTTGGGAAACCTTTCTACAACCTACCTGTGCGGCCCCAGGTGTTACTTTCCTCAGTTCCACAAAGGTCCTCCTCTTCCTCATCACTTGACCCCTGTGACCCTGCCAGTTGGATGAAGGTTTCATGTTGCATTATAATAGTGGTAGTTTCATTCTCAATGCCACAGAACATATCTGCATTGTCAGGACGAACTATGGTGCCGATTCCAAGCCTATGGATATCATGCTGCTTTGACTTGATATCTTTCTCTAGTGTGTTGAGTCTGTCCTTGGCCTGATGAATGCCCTGCCAGGTGCCAGCCAGAGCCAGCCCCTTGTCCTCCATCATTATGGAAACAGACATGGCAGACAGATCTGTCTTGATAGTCTTGATTTCCCTTGAGTAGTGTTTTTTAAAGAATTTAATTCTGCCCTCATCATTTATGTCATACCTGTCCTCGTACTTGGCATGTTCGCCTATAAAGGTCCGCAGTTGTTTTAGTATGTCTTTGTGAATGATATCTGTGGAGGTGACCTTGAACCCATAATCCATCATGGTAGATACGATAACGAGACCGCTGTTGTCTTCCTGTATTTGCTGACACTGTTGTTTCCAAGGAAACGTTTTCAGAACCTCAATCTTTTCTGTGTCCGTTAGTGGAACATCACTGAATGTTACTGTGTCATTTATAATCCTCGTCACATCTTGTTCTGCACTAGCTGATACTGTACCAAGCTCTAATCCGCCTGCAGTACAGTCTAATTCAACAACCAGTTTGTGTTCTGCAAACTTCTGTTTCAGTTGATTTTGTACTTGGCGATTCTGTAGGAGTCTCACCTGGTCGTTGTTCATGGCATTGTCCTCCTGGATTGTCCATATCCGAAACTGTTGTGTTATATCACCGATGATTGTTTGGGCTGTGTTGATGTCCTCAATGACACCATTGTATGTTATAGTACCTAACTCCTCGTTGTCTGTCACATTCAAATCCTCAACTAAAGTGTTCACTTGTGTCAAAGTGTCTAGTCGGCGTAAAAGTCGAATTTCAAAGGACTTAAATTCCTTTGTCACTGATCTGATCTGTTTTTTTCTTTCTATAGCTTTCTCGATGCAGTCTTTGTGCTGGTATAGGTTTTCAGTGACGGTGCTGAACATCGTCTCGATGCCAACAACTACCAATCTCACATCGCTGTCATGGTCTTGGAAATCTAGGTGAACTGTTTTGTGGGCTGTGTGCTCCTTTACATGACCAAAAAGATCCTTCCAGACTTCTGCTGTGACCAGTATTTCATCTTGCTGTACAGTTACATCTATAAACTCCTCCCAGATCTCCCTTACCTCTGAATCCCAAACTCTTACAAGACGACGGACACCTTCGGTTTTTTGGTCCATTGTACATTCAACATGAAGTTCGTCCGTGACCTTGAGCTTTGCAAGCTTTGGTTTCAGTTTTGATTGCAATAACTCTTTAATAGTTTCATATTTCTTGACCAGTTCCATTTTATGGTGATCAGCGTGTTTTAGTACGATGTTGTCAGGAATGCACACTTTATGTTTGTCATCTTCCCAGACCTCCCCGAATTCACATTCATAAAGGGCCGTGACACACAGACTTGCCGAGCCTATCTTGTGAGGGTATGGGCTGTGGCAGACTTTCTCAAACGCTGTAATACACATACATTGTGATATCACAATATAACAATGAGATGACACCATGTCACAGTAAGTTTTACATAATTTTAATCTATAATTAGCTGAATTTTATTTTCCAGTTCATTTATTTGATCTACATTTACTGCTGTTTTATATATATAAGTTCAAGTTTATACATTCAGTCTAAACCAAACTGTGATTTACTCTGGCCAGTGGTATGGATAATTTTAAAATCAGTTCAAATATATCAAAGAAGTTGATATTATGCAACAACAAAAAAGCAACTATACATCTTGATCAAAATTTGTAAGCAATGTAAGAAAGTAATAATGTAGGATAGAAGTGTTTCAATTACTTGGATATATTATTTGGGTTTAAAACCTGTGAAAAGCCATGGCTTTTGACCAAAATACTGTACCCTCGTTTGTGACATTTATATCCTACATATATACATATAAATTACAAGTCATATAATTAACACAGGGCAGACAGAAAGGGGTACCAGGTAAATGTAATGCCAGAACTCAGGGCAGACAGAAAGGGGTACCAGGCAAATGTAATGCCAGAACTCAGGGCAGATAGACAGGGTTACCAGGTAAATGTAATGCCAGATCTCAGGGCAGATAGACAGGGGTACCAGGTAAATGTAATTCCAGAACTCAGGGCAGACAGAAAGGGGTACACGGTAAATGTAATGCCAGAACTCAGGGCAGACAGAAAGGGGTACCAGGTAAATGTAATTCCAGAACTCAGGGCAGACAGAAAGGGGTACACGGTAAATGTAATGCCAGAACTCAGGGCAGATAGACAGGTGTACCAGGTAAATGTAATTCCAGAACTCAGGGCAGATAGACAGGTGTACCAGGTAAATGTAATTCCAGAACTCAGGGCAGATAGACAGGTGTACCAGGTAAATGTAATTCCAGAACTCAGGGCAGACAGAAAGGGGTACACGGTAAATGTAATTCCAGAACTCAGGGCAGACAGAAAGGGGTACACGGTAAATGTAATGCCAGAACTCAGGGCAGATAGACAGGGGTACCAGGTAAATGTAATGCCAGAACTCAGGGCAGATAGACAGATGTACCAGGAAAATGTAATTCCAGAACTCAGGGCAGACAGAAAGGGGTAC